TTAAATTCGTTATATAACATTCGCGTTACTTTAATAGGAATTTTATGACAGGCACTGCACTAATTTAATTTTTACATATAAGCTATTTTTTCATTCGTTGTTGCAAGGCGGTTGGAGTTCAGGACCTATAGGCTCCTGGCACTTTTCGTAAATCACGCATTCGCAAATGCACGATTCGAAACTCGGATATGTGAACAACCACTATGACTGCTATTTTTAAAATTACTCGTATGAGTGACGATTCTGGAAACACCAAGAGACAGTGTTTCTAGGTTAGTTAAATTTTTATTACTAAAGGTAATATGATCTGCCAAGAGTAGGCTCCAAATTCCCTAACAGACCATAGACTATCTTGTTTCGTTTTATTGCATAATCTTATTCAAAATTGTGACAAAAACTGAATAAACATTTTTTTCAGACAAATTCTTGGAATTATTTTTTTACTCGTTCTGATCAAAAGTTTTTTATGAACTTTTCTCTAAGGTCAATAGTTTTAGAGTTATATGCGGTTTAATATTTAATAAGAGCGAATCCAACCTCGAGAATCAATTAGAAGATACGTAAATTTTGAGTTTCCAAAGTTTCCAAATACGCGTCATGCATTCTTTAACAAAATCGCTTAGCAGTTTAGGGAACATTGTTATTGCAGGTCAATTTTAGTCGTTAGCAGCATTGGGCACCCGCTTGATTAACAATTAAATAAGAAAGGTTTACAATAACGAAATGTTTTGTAATTTTGTCAATGTGTGTTTGGAGAATTTTTTATCCATTTTTTAATTCATTTAAAAACATGGTATAAACACAAACAAGCGCCATCTATTACCAGAATCAATCACTGCGGCAGTATAGTATAAAGCAGCTATCGGTTTGAACTGTAAAGATATGTTTGAAGAATATGTGGAAATTTTGACATCACTAAATTTCCTATTTTTCCGTATTGTTTTTCGGGGTCGCTCTTTTCAATTATTGAATCGCTTATATCTCTAAAACTATCAACACTTGAGAAAAGTTCATAAAAACCTTTCTTGTTCAGAATGACAAAAGGATTAGAATAGCGAAAAAACTATTTTTTGATTATTTTAAAAGAGTCAGGATGTCGACCATGTGCTTTTGACAAATCACATATATCGGATCGTACAGAAGATAGTTGCTATGCTTCCTTTTGTTGTCCCAGAGACTAAGCCAAGACCACACTGATAAAGTGTCAAAAAGCACGAAACAACTGTTATTGGTAAACCGTCTCTGGTTGGATGGACGAAAGCAGCTTATTTAGTTGTTTGAGCAACTTATAACGTCTGGCAACGTGCAGGTCCTTGAAAGGGGGTCCTCTTTTAATAAGATTATGCAAAAATGATTCGAGATATTTTCACGACCAGAGGCGAAGCAACATCCTGAATTATAATAGTTGCCGCTCAGCATAGGTTTCTTGTACAGACACATTAACAATTCTTTCAGTAATCTAACTTCCTACTTCATCTCTAAAAATAAACTTATATATTCTTTTTTCTTCTAAAAAAACTGACTTAATTCTTTCTTACATTCATGGTCTCATCTTTATGTGTGAAATGTCGTTGTACCGCGCTGTGCCTATGTCGGCTGTCATTCGCTGAGCGTATCACAGCTATCAAAATAATTCTACGCTCAGGACGCGATCCTAATATGATACGGTACGGCGGGCAAAGGCCTTAAGAAATTTCAATTCTACAGTTTACATAGGATCACCGTTCTTATTCGACACAAGAAAAAACAGATAGCTTCAGTATATCTTTCCGACTATCCTGGGCGCCCTGTCAATTACATTTCGATCTGTTTACAAGAATGTCGACCCTATTCATGCATCTCTCCTTTTCCATTGGTCTCCCTCAGCGGTACGCCAGCCGGTTTATTTTGTTTTCACTCAAATACTTCAGAACAAATCACAGTCGGTGGAACATTGAGCATTCCATTTTCACGGTAATTCAATTGAAAGGTTATGGTGTTAGCCGTATAACTCAGCAGTAGCAGGTGAAGCCCATGTGTGATAGGTATAGATTACCCCATGATTCTGTCCTAGTGCCAATAAGCGTTGATGATTTTCCAGTTGACGTTCAAGGTCAAGTTCACATGTTCACTGATAAAACTGCATACTTCATTCTGACCTAGATGTGAAAGAGCTGGGGGAGTATCCTAAGGCTCGAAAACCCTATGGGTCCATCATCCTTAATGGTTGAACTGTGTCACGTGCCAAAATCACGGAACCTTTTTTTAACTATTTTGATCAGTTACTAGTAATTTGAACTTCTCTTTATTAATGGTAAAGTGCCCATTCCTTGTCCAAACCCTTTTCAATGACTTTCTTTTGGTAAATTTCATTATTTATTAATTGTATAATTTCAAACTCTGTGGTTTTTCTCCGTTTCTTTTAACCTCCAGATTCTGGGATATTAGGTACCTAACACCATTTTATGGAGCAGTACCCCTTCATATAGTACCTCACATTTAGTTGTCTTGGTATGGGTGCTACCCCGTCCATTTTCTTATGGGATTTTAATATTTAGTGCGGGGAGGCGTTGCCGAGAACCACAACATAATCCTCTAGCTTTGTTTGAAGCTGTTTTACATCTGGTATTACCGAAAGCCACCCCTTCCTCTTAGCAACTGGTCAAAACTAGGTCCCATAGCACTAACTAAATCTGAACAAAAAAATTCGCTTTCTGTAACAGCTCAATGATGGAAAAAGACGTTCAATTAAGGTTGCATATTGGCATACTACGAGATACACGTAATGCATTCTTTTCGACATTATTCTGCCTGGCATCTCATCCAAAAAAATACCCGTTGGAAATGTCGACGAGTATTGATGCTAGCATGACGTTTGCATGGAGACGCTTTAACAGGTACAACCTAACCCAGCTACAATACTATGACGGTAGGTATGACCGCCATCTGTTGGCGGCTGTTACCAACATGAAACTGTCGCGAGCGTCATCTGTTGACGCGAGTGAGAATAACTAACAACATTATCTAGCGGTGACGACCGAAACCGCCTAGAGTCTCAAGAATAACCCTCGATTACTTCTGAGCTTTCTGGACAAGACGATTCATGTAACAAAATGGGCGATTAATGAGTCAATCGCCGAGAAACAGTCAACGAGAATGAGAACCACGGCTTCTTTATACATTTATTATAAATTTAATTGCTTGAGTAGTAATAAATTGATTTATTTGTTGAACTAAATACCTCTTTTCTCTACAACACATGTCATCATTCTCAGCAGGAACTTTTTTGGTTGAAATTTTGAACTAGAAAACCGTAGTTGTGAAACTGTTAACTGTTAAGCTACATTCTTTTTATATCGAAGGAATTTTGTTAATCCAATTTTTGAACTGCCTAAAGGCTGCTACGCACAGTGCCGCCGGCTAAGCCTCCGTGCACCCGGCGGCATACAAAGCCGTCGGCCTTGCCGCGCAAAGGAGCCGCCGGGGTGTGCCGGCGGGTTACGCGGCTTGCCGGCGTCACTTCGTTCCTGGCATTCGAGAGGTAGTGTTGTGCGGTTTGTGAGTTGCACTTCACTATCGTTCTATGTGACTGTCACAACCGGAATGATGCTTGGCGGCTTGTGCCGGCGGCTTGTATTGCCGCTCTGCATAAACCCGGCGGCATTGCCGCCGGCTTGTGTGTAGTAGCTTTAAGGTTAAATAGTTTGTAGATTGTTCCACAATCTCGACAGCCTCGGGACAAAGGTGAGGTCGTATCGACTAGTTCTGGATGTACGAAGTTCGACACGGTTAGGATGGGAGGCCAAAGATAGACGGGTCTGTCTGGCAGGCGGCGGCATCAAGGAAGGGAGCTCCGAGGAGCATAGCTCATTGGTGTAGCGGTAGAAGAGAGCTAGATCGCCGACGGCCCGCCGGTGCGAAAGGGTCCCGAGACTGTCTGTTAGAGAAGAGTCGTCGATCAGTCGGACAACCCTCCTCTGGACAGCATAAATAATGTAGTCAGGGCGGCAGCACCCCAAACATGTGAGCAATACTCGAGGCTAGGCCTTATCTAGGCCATGTATAGAGTGAGAAGGTCATGCGGAGAAAAGTACTTATTAGCCCTAAACAAATAGCCTAGCACGTGTTCGTGCGAGATCAAGCCCTCGGTGATCTGGACTCCGACCAGCCGAAGTGAATGGCTCTTTGACAGTACGCGGCCGTCCATCGAAACGGGATGAGCGCTAGGGCGCTTTTTGTTTGTCAAGGTACAGTACTGTGTTTTAGAAACATTAAACTGTACAAGTTTGTTGCGTTCCCAAATAGTCATAACCTCCAGGTCTCTCGTCAAAAAGGAAGTCAGCGCTTGTCTTCTTTTTTCCAGCTCAGTGACAGAGATCGGCTTGTCACTCTGAATTCCTGCATGTAGAGTGCTGTCATCAGCAAAGCTATAGATTGTGTTGATCGTACAGGAAAGGAGGTAGTTGATATGTAAGAGGAACAGTGTCGTAGCTAAGACCGATCCCTGAGGAACACCCGCGCTGACGTTGTGGGATGAAGAGGACAACCTGTCAATTACGTCGGATATCTTGCGGCCAGAGAGAAAGTCAGCCATCCGTCTGCAAAGATTTTCTGGTAGGCCATAGGATGATCGAACGCTTTTGTGATATCAAGAGCAAAGACATGAGCCTCACCATAAGACTGGATGAGCTTACTCCAGAATTGCGTGACGTAAGCTAGGAGACCCCTGTGGATCGCTGGTGCCGAAAACCATACTGCCGGTTGCTAATCAAGCCGTGACGTTCGAGGTAGTCCAGAAGCTCGCAATTAATGCACATCTCCATTACCTTACTTATAACCGAAAGTAGAGCTATAGGCCTGTAGTTGTAAGGGTCGGTCTTAGATCCTTTTTTTGAAATAGGTTGGACATGAGCAAATTTCCAGTTTTCTGGCGAGATGCCGGATTCATAAGATATTTGGACCATGATTTAGTTGGATCTACGCTGATCCAGTTTAAACCATTTAAAGAGCCAAGGAGCCATTCACTTGAACAAAAGACCTCCACGTTCACAGTTCTTCGAATCTGCCTTGATTTTCTCGAATCCCTTTGTACCTCCACCGGAAAAGATCATAAGCTCTACTGGAAAATCCGTAAACTTCACTGCCTGCACATGCGCAAATACAGACATGGTCGCACGCAAGGAGAGCATGAAATCCTGGTTGCCTTCATCGCCATACTTAACATGGTTTTGTGTACAATATTTGGGATATCCAAGATTCGCCCTCCCGTCCCCTGATAAAATGTGTTGCTCCTCATTTTCAAAAACTTTTGTTAGCTGATACACTTTTACAACATACAAAGGGTCTCCTCTTGTCTAATCACCATACTACTGGGAAAAATTCCTGATGGCGCCCTTGGATAAGATAAGAAATGCGCAGAAAAGTCTGCGTACTTTTTACGTTTGCTCTTGTTACAAATGTTATTTTGATAACTGGTTAATGTTTGTTGGTGTATAACCGTCAACTGGTCGATCAAGCAAATCGGTACTCGGATAGTTTGGCAAAATAATCTAAAATCCAAGAATTCATTTTCCTTGTGTCCCCCACCAAGTTACACTCTGTATCCGCTCCTGACATCGCTTCGAATCTCTTTAAATGAATTTTGATATCCTTGAACTCCCTTAAATTGTTTCTCATTTTCTTGGATTATCTAGAATCATCTCACACCGTCTCCACGCACTGAAATAGAAAACCTTCTTCGTTATCATACTCTTTCTTTGGACTTTCGACAAAAAAAATGTTTTGAAAATGTAACCGTTCTCAAAATCTCACGTATGGTGTGTGCGAACCTTTAAACGCGTCATTTTCTAGCAATTTTAGAGACTACCTTTGTCATTTTTAAAACACCTCCTTGTCACGCCACTCCATAAAATGAACGCCACTGAAGAGCACATAAAAACTGCAGTCGGCCACATAATCGAGTAATAAAATTTTAAGCAAGTTTGTTTTGGAGTTAATGGAGAATAGATAAGAGGATATAACGATCCAACGAGGGGGATGTTCTAGTTACAGTCAACAATAGAAAATATCGCATTGGGCATTATTACTGTGGTTTCGAGGAGACAAACAGTTTAACTGTATCTGTGAAACACTATGAGGTCATTCTGAGGTAAACCAGAAAAGAGATTCAGATGTACGATTATCCTCCTAAAGAGTTTATAAAATGTCAATTTCAGCAGCTACGACCCTTTACGAGCCCTTTCCCACTTCAGTTATCCCAACTATTGAAATCTTAGTTTTTTCCTTATCAAACACAAATAATAAAAATGTAGCAGGGTGTTATAGGTTTAAAATATTAACAATGAATATTTTGATAATATATATTAGAAAACACCAACTTTATCACTCCGTAATCAAATTAGAGCTTATCAACCTATTTTCATGTCAATGCAAAATAAGTCTATAACGCAAAGGTGGCTGTGAAAAATAAAAGCCATGACAATTGTTTTTATTAATCACAGCTGTCGGAATACGTTTAAAATAGTTTTGGGTAGTTAAGGTTTTTAAAATGGGCAGAGGAAAGGTTATTAGTGAGAAAATTCGCTTACTGATAATTAAATTCTTTAATTCTGGGAAATCAAACTCAGAAATTGCAACTTTGTTAGACTTATCGCGGTACAGTGTGAGAAATATTGTTAGAAGATATAACGTAACTGGTTCAGTTAATATTAAGCCACGATATGTGAAAAAAGTAATATCACAAATGCCCACCGAAGAGCATTAAGAAGAATAATCGTGAAAAACAAGCGTGCCAATTGTTTACAATTATGTTGTAAGTGATCTGTGGAGTGACGCTGTTGGAAGGAGAATTTCGAGGTCCACAACTCATAGACAACTGGGATTTAGCACTTGCAAGATAAGTTGTCTTATAAAAAAAAGTGAAGTAAAAACCCTAAAGTTGCACAACTTGTTTATAGGCCAAAGAAAAGCCACTATTAACTCCACTGCAAAAGAAAAATCGGCTTAGATGGGCTAAAGAACATAGACAATGGACACCTCAACAATGGAGTGATGAGGCCCGATTCGAAGTTTGTGTTGGTGACAGTCACAGTAGAGTTATTCGCAAAAAATGAAGCATTCTATGTTGACTGTCTGAAGAGAAAAGTGAAATTTCCAGCATCCATTATGGTCTGGGGCAGTATGTCATCAAAAGGAGTAGGAAAACTTCATTTTATTGATGGAAATGTGGATACAAACAAATATTTGGCAATTTTAGAAGAATCGATTTTACCAGTGATGGAAGAATGTTTGACATCCGGCCAAGATTTTGTGTTTCAGCAAGATGGTGCAGCGTGCCATACCTCAAAAAAGGCTATAAAATGGATGGAAGAAAATAATGTGCCACTTTTGAAATGGGTTTCTAGCAGTCCAGATCTGTCACCTATTGAAACTTTGTGGCACGAGATGAAAAAGGTTCTACGACAACATCCTGCTCGTACAATCACCGAACTGAGACAAAAGCTTCAAGAAATATGGGATTGTTTTACACCAAATTTTTGCCAAAATTTGGTTAACAGTATGCCCCAAAGAATTTTGTTTTACCCAATGGTAATCATTCAATTGTTGCTTTGTTAACTTCGCGCATTTATTCGCACATTGTTTATTTATTCAGATGTTCTGTTAGTTATAGGTCTAAGTGATTTCAAATATGTATTTTTTACGACTAGAGTGTATCTAAAATGTTTTTGAGAAAATAAATTGTTTTAGAAGTAAATAGTTTCATCATGTTTAGTTTATAAAGGCCTATTTTGGTACAAATCTTGAAGTGGGCCAACTGAAGTGGGCAGGGGCTCGTATTTGGGACTAAGGCCCCTCGTACACAATGCTAGCTATGACTAATGATTTGAATGCCTACAATTGTTGCTTGGTACATTAACGTCTTTAGATATCGAAGAAGATAGCATTCTGTAACGCCCTTTAAGTTCGCTTTCATTAGGTATACATTCTTCAGCCCGATGTGTGAGACTCTTTGAGGCTCAGAATTGGTTATCCGTCATGCGTCTCATTGGATTTCACTTCCTACTTAAAACCGCATAAAAAGTTAGCTTTGTACGAGAAGCCATAGACATCACGTTAGCACGGTTTTTGGTGCCGTACGAAATAATTGAACAGATTGACTAACGTGTGTAAAGCTCAGCTTCCCTAAGGAAAACTGGATACATTCGATCCTTAACGCAGCTGCTACAAGCTGTTGCTTACACAGTTTCATGAATAATTGAGTGATAGAGAATAATTATTTTTAGAAATTACTTCGCTAAAAGCACTGTCTGTATTTTTGTCGTTGTGCTTTCACGGATTGCTATGTTTATGTCAAAAATTAACAAAAGGTCATACTAATAGTGACAGACATAAATGTGGAAGACTCATTGGTTGATAAAAAAAATATCGTCAAATAAATAGTTCCACGTGCCATCCACCTTCCATTAACTCAAATGGCATCCCGAGGATGACCCGGGGAGCGACTTTTCTATCAGTGTTCAGGAGCATTGCTCGCTGAAACATAAGATAATCACGCCCACCTTCTCTCAGTTATTCTACTCCTCACTTCAAGAATTAACTCTCTTGACTACTGCCGGATATCTGATTCTACCTCCATTACTGGTCTAGAGGCATAAAGCAACCGCATCGAAGAAGTGCTAGTGTGATGGATTTCGCCATGATGTATACAGGACTCCTGGACTAACGCCTGATATCTGATTCTACCTCCATTACTGATCGAGAGGCATGGAGCAGGCGCATTGGAGAAGGGCTACTGTGATGCATTTCGTCATGATGGATAGATGACTCCTGGACTAACGCCTGATATCTGATTCTACCTCCGCTACTGTATGGCTGAGGGATAGATCAGCGCATCACAGAAGGGCTTTGTTCGGCTAACTAAACAAAGCGCGTTTAGTGGAAGTGTAAAGCTTTGAACGCTAATGCGGCCTAATGTAAGCGAGTAGTCGTGTTTACTAATAAAACATATCGGTAATTAAGCGTTGCTAATTTGGTAATAAGCATCTACAAACACGGAATTCAATTAGCGTCAGCAGTATGCCTGCCACTCTGTATGTGGATACGCCATGCGATGTTGGACCGGAGAGGATCGGATCCGGTTACCGATGCATACCCGACAGCCATTGACGTGCCTACGATCGTGGTTACGAAGGCAGAATTAACACTCAATACCTCCAACCAACACGTTTTCAACTCCTTTTTCATCTGCTTATTCTTCTTCTTTTTCATGTGTCATCTCCTCTCGGCGGAAGGTTGACCACCACCAGACAATAACGACTTTAACGTAACTGCTTAAATTTCAGTGGAGCAGCACTTAAGCTAATCTCTTAATTTGGTTTCTCAACTAGGTTCCTCTTGGAAGTGGGCCATGTCGGAGAACCTAAAGATGCGCGATGAGGGCACGTGGGCGATTCGATCGTAGGTGGCTGATCAACCACAGAATAGGAGATATGATGGTGAACAATAAGACACCAGAAGACAAAGATTAGTTTAACATTTGAAACTGATCATGTGGTCTTCATGCCGACAAACCTTCCTTTTTTTCTGGCCTCTAAAAGAAACCACAGAATCGTTTCTGATACCATGGAGGCCTTTGCCAAGTACAAATGACAGTTCTTGAAAGATGTCACCGTCGTGGAAGAAGCGTCGTGTCAGTACAGCAATTCAAACATGTATGTGATTTCATTTAGCGGCTAGACAAACATGGGGGATTACAAGATATAGAATTCTCACTCATGATCTCCACGAACGAACGATGTATAAGTGGGGAGATAATATTTACGGTTCACGGTAGGATCTCTGACACTATGGTCACCTTTGATCCTTTTTGCCTACCCCGTAGTACCAAACACTATACCCCTTATTTACCAATATCAGATAACTGGTTATTATAGAATAAGCCAGCTTCAACTATGCGACGATGCGGTGTACCCATTTGATCTTGCTTCGATCACGCGCGTACGTATACAGGGTGAATCACAAGTCGTGACCAAAAATGAAACATCATACACAGGACCGCATTTCAAGGGGGGTCTCCTATGTAACATTTTTTCCTCGAAGGCTTCATTAAAAAGATACGGGATTTTGGAATTAATTAAAATTTGGTATGTGGATTTACCTAAAAAAAGTATTTACTTAACATTAACGTGCACCAGTGGAGGAGATACAGAGGATTAGTGGCATTATTTTTCCAAATAAGAATAGTACGCCACTGTTATTTTTTTTTTGGAAACG